GATTGTAAAATGAAAGGCGTGGAAATACCGTTTCTGTTCCACTGCGGAGAGACACTGGAGATGGGGACCGACACAGACGGCAACGTCGTGGACGCGCTCCTGCTCGGCTCAAAGCGGATCGGGCACGGATTCTCACTTTCGAGGCACCCATACATCATGGAAAGGATGAAGAAGCAGAACATATGCCTCGAGGTTTGCCCAATTTCCAACGAAATCTTAGGCCTTACACCGAGAATCGGCGGCCATGCCATGTACAACCTCCTGGCAAATAATGTGCATTGCACAGTCAACAGCGACAACGGAACGCTTTTCAGGTACATTCCCTTCATTTCCTTGTGGCTTCAGCGGCTTGCGTTGTCTAACCGGGCTCCCGTCAGGTCGTCACTATCCCACGACTTTTACCAAGTTTTCGCCGGCAGGGACGACTTCACCCTCCATGGATGGCGCCAGCTGATTGAGTGGAGCTTGGAGCATGCCTGTCTAGACAAGAAAGAGTACAACAAGGTCTATGACGAGTGGGAAAAGCTCTGGGACGAGTTCTTGGACTGGATTTTGGAAACCTATGAAACCCAGCTCAACACGGCCAACTCACTAGGATAGTGTTCCATCCTGGCTGTGCCGGGTCCAGTAATCGAGCGAGGCTTTGAACCTTAGCGACGAACTCGCCCATGTTATGGCACGGCGTCGCCAGTGGTAGTTGATAGAGTTGATAGCCGATTGGCTGGAGATTAGATAAGGAAGGACTGACAGGATAAAGGTGCGGCCTTCGGCCACACCTCTCCTTCAACCTCTCTTCTCCTCCCCAGCTTAATATTCACATACGTTCTGCACAAATCGAGGGCTCAAATGCCACGTCGTAACAGCCCAGCGATTTCTAATGAGAACTCGGAATGGTTTTGACCAAGGCGAGGGCAAGGCCGACGGACCACGCCTCCTTCAGTGGGAGCTTCCCTATTAAGGCACTTACCAAAATCTGGAGGAGCACATATCCACCGTTCGGCTCAGCCTGGAAGGACGAGGCATTCGAAAATAGGCTTGTTTTGCCCCAGTATTTTTTCTGTTCAATTTTTGACTAGCCGACTAGCAGCGTCTTCGGAGGCCCAGCATGAATTAATGAAAACCATTCCGTCGTTCTAAAAGGCTTCAGGGAGCAACCAACGGGCCAACCAGCGCCATCACCGAACAAATTAAGCTGCAACTCCAGGTTCAAAATCTACAAGGCCAAGTGTCCTTCTCCTGGGCCGGGCCTAGCCGCTGATAGGGTTCTTTGCCTGCTGTGGTGGCGTGGTGCCTTGGGAGTCGCTGAGCCACGGTGGCTGGGGGCCTATGCCTGTGGGCCGTGGCCGTGGCTGTAAGGCCCGTGCCTGGCCGCCTGGGTGAAAACCCTGCACGAGGGCTCCGGTGCAACGCATCAATCCCCTTCTTCTTCCGTATATTGTTTTTCGGGCATCCCAGCGTTCAAATGCAGTAAAAAGATGGAATCCCGTAGAATTAAAGTACGCGCGACGATTCGGGGCCGTGGGGCTGGCGGGGTGGCGGACAAGGGGGGCTGGCGGAGATGGGGTGCTTTGGCTTATAGTAGGTTATATACAGGCTGTCTGTCAGGGCTTGATCCCCTACACATGGTTCTGTGCCCTCAGTACCTCCAGGTAATTCCTGAAGGAGGAGTCGTCCTAGGCTGTCGGAGACAGTAGCCGCGGGGAGGCTCTAAAGTCACGCCATTAAGTATATAGCCACTACATCAAAGTGAAAGGACAATCGCAGCCATCAACGCAGCCGCCAAGTTCGGCTCCCGGAACGCGGCCCATTTCTGGTGCATTTTAAAAAGCTTCAACTTTCGGCTACCTAAAAAGAAAACCCATCTAAAAACAACCCATCGTTCCCATCATTTCATCCTGGCACAGATATCTTCTTCGAGAGATATTTTGTTGGAGGCGAGGCCGCGCGCAATGTGGACCGTAAGGAAGTATCAGCAAGGGCAGAGCTCGCTTTGAGTACACGGCCCGCCAGGACGGTCCAACTTGTGGGCAGGCTGAAGTGCCCAACCATACCCCTAATCAGTCACGCGTATAGGCGAACTGAACAATGCATACGATGATGGCGCCAAGAAGGTTTCCGACCCTATAAAAGTAAAAAGCTCACTGGTTAGAAGTGTACGTTCATGTCTGGTTTTCGCTAGCTGGAGGGGAGGGGGGTTGCGTAGGATCAAAACTTACAAATCCAGGGCGGCGCCGACGGTAACCCCGATGCCGTACTGCTTATTGCGGACCAGCTTCCAGAGGTTCGGGTTGGCGTCCTCGGGGATGAGGCTGGGGTCGATGTTGTGCGGGACAGCCCACTGGTCAGCGGTCGCGAGCGCCAGGTTCCATCGGACGACCACGACGGCCAAGGTGGCGACGGAGAGGGCGACGGAGGCGAACGCGGCGGAGAAGCCGATCAGCGGGACCGGGATCAAGGAGAGGGGGAACAGGATCAAGGAGTTGACCAGGTACTGTAGTGGGCACGTTTTAGTTAACACTGTTGGAGCAACTTGCATGTGCGCTGGAAGAAAAGGGGGGCAAGGGCGAGGCGGGAGAGTGGACTTACGCTGGCAAGCAGAAGGACGACGGCTGTCTTGTACTCGGGGACCGGGATGTCGCTGCAGAGCAGGATGATGGTGTAAATAAAGATGAAGGCCCCGACTGAATGAAACAAAGCTCGCGGAGCTGCACTGATCGTAGCTCCTTCGCTTCGAGACATTGTGGATGTTCGATGACCCGTTGGGTGGGTTTGTGAGTGGTGTGTGTGTGTGGTGGGACGCGGTTGTTGACAGCAGCAAATTGAGCTGGGGAATACCAGACGTATTTATCCTCAAGCAGCTTTTGCGTACCCTCAGCCGGCAACCTTGGTTA